GTTTTTCTTTTTCAACTTATACTATATTGATTCCTAATTTGAATAATATTTCTTTCAGTTATAAATTGTTCATTAGTATTATTATCATTATTAGCATTATTAGCTTATTAATGTCATTGTTATTCTCTTCAGAAAAATTTTTTTAAAATTTAAAATTAGAATTCATGATCAGATCTTATTGATAGATAAAAATTGTAAAGATAGTTTAAAACATCCAAAATCCATTTACCTGTCTATTAATGGTTATTCAATAAAAAGAAGGAGGATGATAATGACCTTTGAACCTTTGATTATGATGTCAGAGAAAAATTTAGTTTTTTCCAAGATTAGGAATAGTTTAGCAAAGTCCGAAAAAAAAAGTTAAGTACACTTAAGCAAGAGACTACCGTAGCTGTAGATGGGTAAAATTCAGACAATGGAGGAATTTACAATTTCAACAAAATAGAATCATAAATTCTGAAAATGTAAAGTTTAGAATATTATAATAAGTTGAGCACAAATGATAATTTACCGTTAAAAAGAAAAAACTAACAACAAACCGATAGACTATCAAATAAAAACAACATGCATGTGATTAATGATACGGATATGATGAATTGCTAAGCAAGTTATCAGTAAATAATAAAATGTCCAGTAAATTATTAATTAATGATAAATTACTGAATAAGCTGTAGGTAAAATCCTTAATATCAATTATGTTATTTATAAATGATAACATTTCACTAAGCGGGGTTATTTGCAAACAAGTGATAAATCATAAATGATTGATAATTAAATTTATCAGTAAATGATTACTAACGTCTTATAAATAATTAAATAATAAGTTGCCAGCATTAATTAACAATGCTATAAACGATTAGTTGCAATTATGTAAAATTATAGTAATTAGTTATCAAACTTCATTATCTCATTTTATCATCTATTTTCAAACTGCTTTGAACCACTTATCATCTTAAAGAAAAAAAAAAAGATAAAAAGATAAAGAGAGAAGATTGAGAAGGAACTTTTCCAATAATATTTCAATAGGTTTCCACTTTTTGTTACATTCTCTAATCTGGAAAACGTATATACTGATCATGATCTTCTACAAGTTACAAGTAAATTGAGAGGGAGAAAGAGGAAGAAGAAGGGAAAGAAGGAGAGAGAAGGAGAGAGGGAGAGGGAGAGATAGAGGAAAAGAAAGAGAGAGCATTTCCGCCAAAAATGTCACTACTACATTTTTGTTCATCAATTGCATGAGTAACCGTTAATCATATCATTTCAAGTCATATTCAATTACTTGAAGTTTCTTTTTTTTTTCCTAGATCACCGGATTCTTAAGTCTAGGATATTCTGTTAAGGTATTAGAAAGGTAAGTTGAAATACTTAAGTTGCTTAGATAAGTAAGTTGAAATACTTAGGAAAGTAAGTTGCTTAGGTAAGTAAATTGAAATACTTAAGAAAAGTAAGTTGCTTAGGTAAGTTAGTTGAGATAGGGTTATACCGTGGTGAAATCGTGACATTTTATGAGCTATCAACTACATAATAATGAATGGATAATTCGTATTGATTGAAATTATCGAATGAATTCATCCCTGGATTATAATCGAAGCCAATTTAACAGCTTAATTTAGCTCGGCTAAATTGATATTTTGCCGTTTCTGTGCAATATCTTACTTACTTGTTATTATCTCAGTTCTAAAAATACCATCAAGTTTTGGCCGTTATCAGAGTTACTCGAAATATTGACATCAACTGTGATCAATTTAGGGAACATTTCTAATTACCGATTTCAGAAATTATTAATTTTGGCTGCTCTACTTTTTTTTATATTTATCACTGAAATTTCCGTGTTTTTTTTCTGTTTCTGAAACTTGTAAGCGTACGGAATTTCGGAGCATTTTATTTTCACCGTATTTTACATGTCATCCAAAATTAACAAATTATCAGTTGTAGAGACTGGGAGAGTTGCAATTTAGCCATAATAATAGCCTGAACACCTAATAATTAGTAAGGTTAAAATATTCCCAAAAAAATAATTCAAAATTTAAACAGCCCTCTCAAAGTTGTAAACCAACTATAATAGAGCTGCAAAATGTAACAAAGCTAAAATAACGCCGCGAAATGCCAAATTTAAAATTCCTCTTGATTTTCTATCTTACTGGTGTTGCTGGATAGCGCTTTCCATTTATTCCTACCCAATTTAAGTTTGAAATTTAATTTCGAGTACAAATTAACTATCATTTAGTTGGCAATTTAATTTCCTGTATGAATTAGCAATTTGATTTCCAATTTGAGTTAGCAGTTCGATTTCCTATATAAATTAAAATATTGTTCAGTTGACAATTTAATTCCCTATATGAATTGAAATATTATTCAGTTAGCGATTTGATTTCCTATATAAACTAAAATATTATTCGGCCAGCGATTTAATTTCCTATATGAATTAAAATATTATTCAGCCAGCAATTTGACTTCCTATATGAGTTAAAATATTCAGTGAGCATTTCGACTTTTTATATGATTAAAATATTATTTAGTGAACAATTCGATTTGGAATATAAGTCAACATGTAATTAAGCTAGGAATTTATCTGGAATATAAACTGACATATTATTAAGCTAGCAATTTGATTTCGAAGATATTGTTCAGCTAGCAATTTGATTTTGAATATTAATCAACATATTGTTCTGTTAGCAATCTGATTTTAAGTGTAAATTAATGTATTATTCAGTTAACAATTTGATTTGGGATGTAAATTAACATATTATTAGGTTGGTAATTTGATTTCAAATATAAATTAACATATTGTTCATGCGATCTCTTATATAAATTGGCATTTTTATCAGAATTATTTAGTTAGTTATTTAGTTAGCAATTTTATTTCAAATATAAATTAATATATTACGAGGTTAGCAGTTTGATTTCGGATGTGGATTCACATGTTATCCATTGACAATTTGATTTCGATTATAAATTGGCATATTATTTAGTTAACAATGTGTGATGATGATAGTTTCAATGTTGCGACAGTGCCTCGTCATGCTGTATTTGGAGCACAACCTGGTAAGGGTGATGGTGAAGATGAGAGTACGCTGGGTGATCGATTTTTCGTATGTTTCTATTTTGATTTTGTTGCTGCTGTTTTTTTTTTCATTATAAAGAAGGATTTATTTTATAAAAAGATTGTTTTTGATTTTAAAAATTTTATAAAATTTAGTGTATAGCAAAACGTATCATCTATTATATATTTAAAACTTAATCTAAATTTGTTCCTTTCAATTTATATGTGCTATTGTCTCATAATCACTTCATTGTACATGACTAGGAGCTTAGTAGAAAGGGAATTCAGTTATAGTTAATTGATGTTGGTTTCC